CCTGGCCGGAAAATTTTCTCTTAAAGCCATATAGCCATATATTTCCTCAACCTACAGACCATATACGACCCCAAATGGGATTCACCCATTGATGCGCTGTACCCTGATGATAAACGCCGTCGTCACTTTAGAGCTGCTACTGTAAACTATAAGGCCGAATATGAAATAGTTTCTTTGTTCGCCCTCCCGGTTAACCGGACTGAACGGAAGCAAGGCGATACAGCTAATAAAAAGAATGACAACAAATTCCTTGAAAAATCGCAGGTTCAAAAAAACACCGACAAACCTCTTATGTTTGATGGTCGAGATTGTTTTAGCTGCTTCAACTGTGTTCTTGAACAATTCACGCTCGTATTTCACTGGTTCATCTCTTTTTTGTTCCAACAATTGCGTTACATCGTTCACAAGTTCCTGAAAAATGAAAAAGCTAGTGCAACATTTTATAGTTGAACAGATGGCTAATAGTAACCTTACTCTGACAAGCTTAGAGCGCGTTCAGACTTCGCGATCGCGCGATCACAGCGATCGCGCGATCCGGATCGCGCGATCGCGAAGTCTGAACGCGTTCTTAGGCATTCAAAGGACTACTTTTGTAAAACTCGGGTTAGCACAGAAACGTTGGGTTAAGGGCAAACACCTGACCTCAGGCGGATCTCTATCGAGCCCGCACCTCACGCTAACCAGCTGACTGCTCTGTCCGGTACGCAAAGGAACGCAACACAACTTGTCATGGATAGCGCAAACGAATTCGAGCAAAATCTTCGGTAGGCATGAGGTGCCAGTTCAAATAGGGCATGTCCTGGAAAATTATAAAATATGAACCCCTCGAAACTTCTTCCCCTAGTACGTCCCCCTTCCCCATAGCCTATTATACCTACCATCCTCCTAAAATCTCCAACTGCCCGATACTTTTCCGAGAGAATTCCTGTAAGAGTCCCGTAGGTCATAGGCAATTATATAGTGGTGTAGCACCCCAATCTATTTGTTTCATCATAGCTTCTCTTGCGCAGGCTTAGAGGAATGCTGGAAGTACGGTATTGGTGACTCATCTCACGCATGGTATTTAAAGGCAGTTGGCACGATAAATCCCCAAAGACGAGTAGGATTATATGCCTGGCAGGGCGGATTTCCGCGACCCTGAGCAGGCCCTGCGTAGCGGTTTTTCCCACGGAGGTACCCTTATAAGGGTCCTATCAAGCTACAACTTTCCGACCCAAACGCCTACCACGCCCGCCCGCCCACAAATGGACGACCCTACCAGATGCTCGTTTTGCTTCATTTGCTATTTAAAATATGAAGCGAAGAGATTGGTATGAAGCGGCTGCGGTGCTGAATGGATATATGAGTACATAGATGCAGCCGCACCTACCGGAGCGGTTATTTGCAATACGCCACGGGAAACTCGTCCGAAATCGCTTTTCAAGAACGAAGGCTTTTCTTCGCAGTTTTGGACCGTTTCACTTCGTTTTTTCGCCATTTTCCCCACTAAATAGCGCCCTGCGAGCATTTTAGGCTGAGTACCAAATTATCGTGCCAACTGATTATTGAATTATCGTGCCTCTGCGAAGCCGGTCGAAAAATATCCGGATTCTACCCTCCTGTTCGACTCGTCGCCGATCTCCTCGTCCCCCTCGATGACCTCCACCACGACTATCGCCTCATGGGCCCGACGCTCTTCCAACACTCATCGACTGGATTGATCTTGTTCATATTGCTAATAAATCAGCCTGCTATTTATATTCAGAAGCAGCCTTCGGGCACGCGGGGTCATAAACCCGCAAATATGACTTTCCCCAGTTTCCTCCAAAAAAAAACTAAGGTTGAGCAAAGAATAGGGAGGAGGGGGTATCTGGCGCCATTGAAACGAAAAAAATACAAGAAAAATAACAAACGAAAACACTTGTCTTGAGGAGAAGACCTTACTTCCCTCCACCGACCAAATACGACCCCCCTCCCTCGCTGTGTATGTTCAACGTTCCCTGAGTTCGAGTGTTGCCTGAGGTCAAGAATTTTGCCCATAAGCAACATTCGTGCGAAGACTGTATGAGCGCGAACTGCGGCTTTTAAAAGCAGTTATCGTATGAAAACAAACTGGCAGTGCAAACAACTTTTCTGCACAAGGAAGCTTGCTCATACGCGATAGAGGACCTCCTCTAGGGAAAGCCAAGAGTCTGTATTGCACCAAAATGCCCTATTCCAATGGAGTAAGGCCCATAACGGCATACAGGAAAAGCACGCTTCTACAGTGCGAATGCAATACCTTTCCACGAGCACGACGAGACGCTTTAGTAAATCGCAGCTTTCTAGGGTTACGCTTCTTCTTGAACAGCTTGTTGCATTTTGATCGACAAAACTTGAAAATCTGAAATGACACAATCTGCTTTGGGTTCACTCCGGCCTTTAACTGAAACCGTTCACTGAAACGTACTGTGGCATCGTTTCTAACAAACTGAACACCGTGACCAGGATAGATCGGTGAGGAACAGAAATAACAAGTTTCTATCCGCATATTTACCCTAAAAGTCACACAATTAAAGACCAGAAATGAAAAATAGTGCCTACCATCGAGAGGGCGAGGGAAAAAACACGTAAGAATTACGACGATTCCCCTGTTAACAGCGATTTAACGTTTAGCTTTCAAATTGCTTGTTCTAGGCTTGATGTGGATACGTTTGAACGAAATACGGCACTGCTGAACTATTCCTGCCCCAGCCATCCGAAATCAGGTCGTTTTTTACCGACTTTTTTCTATGAGGGCAGATTTGGCTGAAAATTTCGCTTACAGGGTAGTTCGACCTTCTGAACACGAATATCACATCCGCTCAGCCCAAAACTGCATGGCGCCCGCGCCACTGTCGCCGGCGGGGCCAAAACCGCTTGGCGCCGGCGCCAAAACATCCTAATCACCAAAATCGATGAAAACTTATATACGGGGGTTATTTGACATCCTGATTACGAATATGACATTTATTCTTGGCGCCGGCGCTAATGTAGGACACTATGATCATCTGCGCTCTGCTAAGGCTGAGCCTGGCCTGAAGGGAATCACTCCTCCTCCCAGATTCAGCCTTAGCAGAACGCTAAATTGCGCTGTTGTCGAGAAATAAATGCCATATTTGTGATTAGGGCATCAAACAGCCCTACTACGCAAGAGTTTTTATTGGTTTTGGTGAAGCCGCCAAATGGCTCCAGTGTTGAAAATAAATGCCATATTCGTGAGCGATGTCAATTAACCTCCGTATACAAGTTTTCATCAAATTTGGTGAGAAACGTGGTGCCGCCAAATTGGCGCCAAATCGCGCCAGCGCTAGAAACGAATGTCTTCGTGATCAAGACGTCAAATAACATCTATAGGCACAGCTTCAGTGAAAAAATTTGTCTGAGTTTCTGAGGTAGGAATAGTTCAATAGTGCTCGAAATACGATTCCAAAACGTTTTTGTCTACACACTGGGTCATGAAAGATACAGGGGTACTGCATTGTCCAGCTCGAACAAGTCCGGAGGAGTTGTCCATACTACTCGTGATCAAGAGCACCTAGAACCTTCATTTCTCTTTTTCAAGTCGGTTATTTCGACTGTTGCTTTGAGAATACAATGCGTTATGTCTTGCATCCTAGTAGAAGTCCTCCAGATTATCCGCTCACATCTAAACGCTACTAAAGAATCCCAAATATATCCTCGACTATTTACGTTATTTATAGCCACACTCGCTGTCAGAAAGGAATGCCGTATTTAGGTGCTGTTCAAGAATCGTAGAATCCGTGAAAGGAACCTGGGGAATCTCAGGCTGCCTTCATACCTTGCGACACGGGAATTCGAAAAGTTGGAAGAACCCGGAAAGGCTCGAAAAGGAAACTATACATATCAATCTAGCGTCCTAGGAGAATCGGAGGAACCGGAGTTTCGGAGAACGTAAATAGGAAGGTGTAGGCATGCCGCCTCTTCTTCGGCACGCGTTTTCCCAAAACGCTGGTGCTGTCGACTCTTCTCAAAAATGATTCTCTCAAAACGTCAGATCGATCCTTATATACTTTCATGTGCGCAACTCTACCGAGGCACCGATTCTCCCCGCGTCGTAAAGTGTGAACGCAGCTTTAAGACTATGCCTACGTCTCGTTTTGCTCTGAGCCTAAGAGCACGTCCACAGTTGGCGATGCGATCGCGCGATCCAAACGATTGGACCGTGAAGTATGGATGCGCTTTAAGCCTCTTTGGGAAGGAATACGGGGGCAGTAGGAGTGGGCCCCTTCGAATTACGTGCGCCCAGCTGTCATCAACCCGTTCTTCCCGCACATGCAAAGAACAGTCCCCGGAGCTGTATGTACAGTTTCATTAACGCAGGCATGGGATTGTGTACTTAAATGTTCGCAAGAGAACGCACAATTGAGCAATGTCAAAAGCATTCTATGCAAAAATATCAATAAAGCGAAAACAGAAAAACGACGGCATTCACACATCAAAGGACTAAAACGGAACTTTTAACGCAATGTACTAGTAATAATGAGGTTGAATGTGGCCTTTTTGACCTGTCCAGGTTTCACCACGGCATGAAATCAGACAAAAAGCGCCCAAAAAAATAACGAAAAGAAAAATTCGGAACGTGAGAGAAACCACCTGAGTTTCAATGTGTCGCAATTTGTCGCAATATCACGACCTGGCGAATTGCGGCATTCTACAGATACCGTAACCTCTTCTGAAGCATGGCGACACGTAGAGCTGGCTCTAGGGGAATTGCACTTTAGCGCTAGTTCACACGGATGTATCTAATCATCCAAACAAGTTCATTCAGTCTATTTTCGCCCAGAAACACAAGATATCCATTGCTATCAGATCTTTCCATGCATACGTGTGGTTTTCAACAACGAACTTCGAAAATTTTTTATTCTTCCCATTTCGCTTTGCGGTTTGCTTGACGTCACTAACAATGGATTTTTTATCATTAAAAGCAAACTTTTGACGTGGAATGAAGCTTCTTGACCATTGTCTTTAACTGACGGTAGTCTTGAAATTTGCCTGAAATTAACTTGATGATCTTTAGATAAATAAAAATATTTGTAGTCGGATCAATAATCCGATCTCATTTGTTGCCTACCAATTCGACGTGTGTGAGTGTACTAACGGAAAAGTTTTTTTCTGTATGCATGATCGATTTCCCCCACCTTTGCCCCTCCTTCGGCTGTAATTGCGCTGCCCACGTCGCATTGATCTACTTAGGTGCTTCAGTTGATTCCACTCACATTAGTATCTGCCTTTCACCATCCTGGTAGCAGCAGCTGATTTTCGAACGATATAGGCATTTTGAAGCTTTGGACGTGCTGTCATCCGCGATTTGACCATTTTATCCCTTTGAATCCGAGTCTACGCATAGTATTTTTGAGCTAGGCTTTCAATGGAGAGTATTCAAATAGGATTTATTGCGTGTTTCCTCATGATTTATCACTGAAAGCCTATTTTCATGTTTCATAAATCATCCATGGGTGCGACAGAATTGAAGTAAGGCGCTGTCGGCTTGGAGTGGTGGGGGGAGGGCATTTTGCACCCTCGCTAGTTTGATATCTGTAGACTCCCATCAGGTGTAAATATAGCTCCTGCTAATGCATAGCTTGATGGGCTTTACAGGTTTCCGCAGGAGGCATCGGCAGTGATCGATGAGAACCAGCAAATGCCCCCTCCAAGCCGGACTCGGCACGTTTATTAGTAAAACCGCGGCGCCTCTGGCCGTCAGAACTCTTCTCTCATCGAGCTACCGATCCTTTTTCCCCAGGCTCAGCCCTAAACACGCAGACGATTAGAGTTGGGGAAGGGGGGGGATTGAGATATGGTGGTTCCTTCACGTAAGAACCTAAAAGATATTCACTCTAAAATCCTTTCCGTAGTAAAAAGCTTATAGTAAGTGGAATGAGCCGTCAAAGAAAACTTGATGTTTTTGAAAGTTGCTCTCAATTAGCTCGTAATTGTTATGCTTTTCTGGAACAAAGTCTTCGATCCCTACTGGTTGATACATTCACGCTTTCACATTTTCGCCCCTCAGCGTGTATTGATTTTACGCGCGTATGATCGAAACGAATGCAGATCGATAACGGATGCATGGCTGTAGTTCAACACATCCACATGGCAGCGTCGCAGGCAGACTAACTTAGATTTCCGAGCTAGTTCACTCGTCATGACACAGCACTACACCTTTTAATGGATCCTGGAGCGAATGCCGCGCATGTGACATCATTTGCGACGTTTCTATCGCTCTGTGGTCGCAATGTGGATTTGTTGGACTATAGCTGCTCTCTCCCCTCCTCAGTTAGCTAAATATGAAAGCACGGTCGTATATATTTACACGATTTTTCGTTTTCAGTTCGAAATTTGGAAGATTTTAGCTTTCAGAGTGCAGTAGGGAAAAATTGGTCGTTAAACCTGATGCGATAATGCGGTCGGCGAGGAATATATTCTCAGTAGGCATTATTTGTGTGTTCACTGTTATGTGCCTATATTTATACCATAGTCTCGATAATCGTACTAGTGCCAACGACGCTTCACAGCAGGAGGTAAGGAAATATGACCCTGTTTTTTCTTTTTTTCTGCGATTGCTGGTTAAGAGTTCTTCAAGCCCAGGAAGCGCGCGGTTGCGACGCGCCTAGCTACGGACGCATCGCGACCGCACGCATTGACTAGCTTGGAGAATAGCTCTACAGCGAGCAGTTCTTTGAGAGCAAATCTTCTCACCTTACCACTTCCAGAAGAGAGTTGCATCCTTGAAATCGGACATTGAACGGCTTCGTGGTGTATTAAAAAGTAATCGTGACGAAATAGCTACACTCAAGCAGCAGTTGGCCGATATTGAACGGAAGCGTAAGCAAGAATGGGACAAGCAAGTTGGTACGTCAGCCCTACTTTATTTTTCTCTGTGTAATCTATCTTTCTCGGCGCAGTTTGGCTTGGTGGGGGCACCGTATGGTACTCAACTCACCTAATTTTGTGCAAGCCACCCTGTGAAGACCTGTTACCAAGCGGCTCACTGGCACTGTTCTGCAGCTTTGCAGGAATTTTACCTGTCTCAACAAAGTGAGACCTGTTAGTTAGAATTAACAAAAACAACCAGCGAATGTGCAATATGCCCCTTACAAGCCGAATTTTCGCTCCGAGAACTTGCATTTTTGGTGCTACTATAGTAGAGAGGGTGGGGTACGCGACGGCTCTTTTCCTTACCATCTTGAGGCCAGTCCTTGCTATAGCACAGGCGTCCGCAAGGCCCTACTTGGGTTGCCGAAGAGCTCTAGGCTGCGTTCTACTTTGGCGACGTTTTCAGCTTAGGAATACGTGTTCGAGCGTTCTAAGTTAGCATAGACGCGCTCGCTACCGTTCTGAGTACGCTAGGTTCCAGCGACTGTCCGCGAAAAAGCTCAATAACTATCGAGAAACGCTCAAAAATGCATGACGCAAAGTATGAACGCAGTCTGCGTCCCTAAGACACACCTCATTACGGAATACGAGCAAGAATTTGTATTTTAATAATACTTTTTAAAGAGAAGAAAACGGAGGTTAATGAATGAAAAAGCTCAACGAGAGACAGCACGTCGAAGAGAATACTCATTCAAATTGCTGGCGACGCTCAATACAAAGCCGTGGCAGGAGCAGAAGTAGGCGTGAATCCCGGAGCCGAAAAAATAAAGTCGCCATAGTCTTCGATGAACTTCACAGAAGCGTTAAACCAACAGAATATGTTTGCCAGTTACGAGGGAATTACTCAAATTCACACGCTGATGTACAAGTAAGTACTTTATTTTGTAAATCTCCTTCAAGAAGTTTGCTTGTGCACAGCTAGGCTTGGTGAGGTAGGCATTTTGCGCTTTCGCTCCTCCCCTGCCGCACTGACTGCCTTACAGATATTGCTTTCTACATACTTTAACTGGCTTTGCTTGTTCATGAACCCTATCGAGCAAGCTAGTGTATCCTGCAAAACCTCAAGCCATATACCTTATTGTCAACACCATTACGAAATGATCAACATTACTGCCTAAAACTACTAATTTAGATGTTGGATTTGTATGATGTGCTGCCATTTGACAATCCGGATGGTGGTGTCTGGAAGCAAGGCTGGGATGTTACGTACGACCAGGAAAAGGTCGCAGAACAAAAAACTCTGCAAGTTATAGTATTGCCTCATTCTCACTGTGATCCTGGTGGGTTGTTGTTTTGCTTTTGCATTTGTACCCCTTTTCGGCGTTGTAGTACTTCGCGGTGGGACTACCCGGTGGCGCCTTCACGTCCCTTCTTACCAAGGCTCAGGCTTGAAGAAAACTATTTCTTCTCAGCGAGGTTATCCTTCAGCGACTCTGGTCGTCTTGCGCTCTGTAGCCTTGGTAAGGGAGAGCGCTGTCGAGTTCTCGCGCCCAGTTGTGTTATCGTCACTTTTTTCTCACTTTTTAGTATTTTGTAGTATTAGGTTTGCGGGAAAGTTCTGTCTTTTTCTCAAATTGGGCTTTCTTTTTATAGAGGGCGTATAGATCAATTGTACGCCAATGTTTCTGCGGGGTCTCTGCCTGTTTTTGAGTCAGCGTCAATGGATGCCATCGCTTCACAGTGCAGGGAGGCGCGATACGAAGTTGGACGTCATCTCAATCTTGGCTGCGATACAAAGTTGGACGTCATCTCAATCTTGGCTTGAACTCAGACTTTTCGAGTTTTCTCGCAATTTCTCGTCCCTTATAATTGGTTTGATTACGGGGGCCAATCGCAGTTTAGAAGGGGCAAGGTTATGTGCCTACACCTGCGCGGAGAGTATCCGAGCTCTATTGCATGAGGAACGGCTAGAACTTTTTTGGAAGTGCGCTGCACTATCAGAAGCATTTGGAGGGGTCGGTGCGATGGTAGCGGATAACATTCTTGTCCATATTGCAGAAGAAGAAGAAGAAGCAGGAATCAAGCGAGTAGTCGGATCGCTAGTGAAAAGATCAGTCATTGATGTATAACGTGCTTACATTACCGGTTACCCCTCTTAGTAATAGGCAAGTATTTTGAGCTCGAAAAAGTGACAGAACTTTTCCGCCAACCTAATATGTAGTAGACAGGACTAAAGAATATGTTGTAGACAGGACTAAGCGACAAATCTCATCTCTGTGCGCTAGGGCCAGCCCGCGAATTCTAGTTGTCTGCACTCTTCCAAGGCTGAGGTCTAGAAGGATCATTATCTCGGTGCGGGTGCGCAGAGAAAGGGACTTACGCGCTGCCCCATGGCCCTCTCGATGGGCAGTATTCCTCAGTTGTCATAAATAGTCCTTATGTGGTGGCCATAAGGACTGATCATTTATCGTTCGTCGGTTACGCCGCCCCGCGACCGCTCGCGTCTAGAAGTGCTTGACACTCCACAAAAATTGTAGCTCTGTAATTATTCTTTTTCTGTTCAGGCTGGATTAAAACATTCGAAGAATATTATACATCTCAAACGAAAAATATTCTTGATAATATGGTGAATCATTTGGGAGAGAATCAGGTGAGCGATTTTTATCTGATCAGTTCTCTGGCCTTTTCGCTTGGACTGATTTTTGTTGTTCACAGAAGGATATGCGATTTATCTATGCAGAAATTTCATTTTTCGAATTATGGTGGAAAGAACAAAGCGATGATGTGAGGAATAAAGTTATACAGTGAGTTTTGTGCCTGGTACTGAAACCTTTTACTCTACCGAGTTTGCATTTACTTGTTATTTCATTCAGATTGTTGAAAGATGGACAACTGGAACTTGTGACTGGTGGTTGGGTGATGACAGATGAAGCGAATGCACATTATTTTTCCATAATTACTGAATTAATCGAAGGGCATGAATGGATAAGGAATCACATTGGTCGAGGTATTGTCTATTCAACCCATTGTACTTGAGCGCCATCACTTTACCAACGTCAGTTTTTTATATTCTCTGCCTTCTTTCATCCACGTGGCGTTTTTTTACCACTGTTGCCTCATATTATACATCCCATCTTTCTGCTATGATAAGCGGCTCGTTCACACTAGAGGATATTCCCTCTTGAAAAGTCCAACCCGCCTTGTGTTCTTTCGAGACCTCGATGCTCTGGCTGCCAATGTCCTCTATTTTTTGTAGTGCAGGGTTCCGTTACGGGGGCACGCTAGAGAAGTCCAAGCAACTCTATACCAGTATTCCAAATGACCATGTGACTATAGGGTCATGTTCATACTGATTCGGCGATCTGAGGGGTACGATTCAAGGGAAGGTGCGACTAGGATAGTATAGGTATCGATATGGTAACGGGGACAATTGGCGAGGCATTCTCGGTGGCGCTCATCGATACCCATCTCTTCTTTTGGCGCGGAGTCCCTCGGAACGCCGAGTCGCCCGAAACACTGAATCGCTGATTCAGTCGCAAGTCCATGAAGCCGCCGCGAACCCTAAAGCGGAGACAGTCCAAGGAGAGCGTGTGCATAGCACCTGGAGGCGTGCAAGTACATAAAGGTACCGGTGGATAAGCTTTCTCAGTGAGGGGCCTTCCGCGGTGAACAAGCCACTTATAATACGTAAAAAGTTGGAAAATGTGGGTCAGTAATTATAAAGAATCCGTAGAATCTCGGCAAGAGAGCCCTGACAAGAGCAGAAAAGTGATGGGGCTGAGGGGGAAGTCGTCCGTAGAGCGAGACTGGTTCTTCTCGGCATTGCTCAATTCCTCTTAAATCCCAAAATCGAGTGATGTTTCTCTTTTTCTAGACTTCACTCCAACAAGCCACTGGTCGATCGATCCATTCGGCTTATCTCCATCGATACCATATCTTATGTCAGCAGCAAATATCACTAATGCAGCGATTCAAAGGTGCAGTCTTTATTCCTTCATAGTTAGCAAAACACGTCCTCGTTAAGATTCTTAGTATTAGTTGGTAGCGTCGCAATTGCTCACTGCGGTCTCGGGAGGCACAGAATGAGGGTCTACGGGCTTTTGTCAACCGCGGCAATGGGTGACTCAGCAATTTGTCGCGTCGTCGGTCGTCTCGCACACTCTCGTCGACGCTGCGTCTCCGCTTAGAAAGGCTAGAGCGTAGACAGAAAGGCATCCACCGATCCCGATTGCCGACGATCACCAGTTCACGTGATTGTTGCGTGCTTTGCTCGTGTTAGGTCACTCTCCGATGCTAATCATTCGTTAAAAAAAAAATAGGAAATCAAGAAGATCTTAACTATAAGAAGGAACTCAGTCCTTCTCGCTTCTTACTTCAAGTATTATTCTTGAAGTGGAATTGGTGTTTGTTGGAAAACAATTGTGGGAATCACCATGCGATTCATCTTTAACCGTTTACAGATCCAAAAGCAACGGGAATGCAGCGCATTTGTTCTCCTCTTCAGAAGCTGGAGAAATGAAGGGGTGGTGATCATATTTGACCAGAGTTTTTTTGTTCTGCCATGCGATTCAATGACACTGCGATTTAAGAGAAATTTATGAAACGCAATATAAGTGCGGACAGTAGTGCGGGATATATGATTTCATACCCGTATCCAAGAGGGAACTGTGCCTTGAGATTTAGCTTGTAAAAGCTTCCGAAACACCCTCTGAATATTCCTTGTATGAACTGTCGAACTACATGGATGTTGCAAGTAGGGACTGTCGAGACACTTGCAGCATGTAGATGATTTATCAGGCTATCTTTTCCGATCCCGGAAAGCACAGCACTTTCGGGCGAGGAGTGCGAGATTACGAGATTACACGGTCTGTAGGAGTCAGTTGTTATCCTTTCTATAGCACCTTCTATAGCACTCCCATTTCATTCAGGTTTGCAGAGACAATGGAGTGCATACTAGCCACTATACGAATGATCTGCTCCTGACTAATGCTTAGTCTATAAATTGTCGTCTCAGAGCGCATGTCAAGAACTACCTACCCATCACTTTGCGTAGTTTTCGTAACTAGCTATCATTCCTGTTATTGAAGCCGTCCACCTTTCCCCTTGTTTCAGTTTTGAATCCTGTTGACCTTGAAATTCACCCTCCAGTCGCCACTGACACAAAATAAGGGACAAATAGTGAATCCTCAAGGTGTTCTCATTCAATCTTAGCCTCTCGTGGCTGAAATCACTTCACGTGTCTTCTCCTTACGAGAGATGGCTTTGCAGGAGAGGAGAGACGACGAGCGTACACGCCCATCTCCGCGGCGACGGCCGACACACGTCATAACTGCCTCGTCGTCTAATTCTCATAGCTAGAGAAATTTCGGTTGACATCTGCCCCGTAACCCATAATGAGCCACTCGCCGTTTCTGCACCATGTAGTGCTTTCATCTTGAACGCGTTGTCACTACTCGTAGAAAATGCGGCTGGTGGGCACGCCTGCAAACATCGCACCGACTGACTGCGACAGCACAAACTATGTTTTTTTTTACTTTATTACGCTTTTCTTTCCTTTGGTTCATTTTCTTTATGAACGCCTTCAGCCACCCCGTTCATACTCCGTAGAAGTGGCGAATACGCGATTAGAGAAAACAGGCTGTATGAATATTCATACATATCAATTGGCAGAACCCGCGGTTTAGAAGACATTCTCTGAAATCGCGGATTCGCCAGACCGATATGCATATAGTGTGCTTCGCTGCGGACGGTTGGGCATGTCAAGCGGGAGTTGCGCGGTGCCAAACCCGTTCTCCACCAGTTGTTGAAGCGAGCAAGTGATATGACTGTATCATATCGTTCGTATTACTCGTTTTCTACCACTTTTTGTCGCATGCGCGCTTCAACAAGAAGGCAGAGAACGGCTTTGACGATGTGACTCATACTGCCTGACACGCCCAACCGTCCGCAGCGAACCAGAGTATAAATTCCCTTTGTCGCCGATTCTACCAAATCGCGTATTCCACACAAACGCAAACTATAAGCACGATGATGCTTTACTCAGTTGAGCAATTGGTAATCCTCTGATTCCTGTGATTATTATTTTGTTCAGGGTTCATTATTCTGTGAAGAAACACCTTGCCAAAAACAAGCAGCTCGAGTTTATGTGGCGCCAGCTTTGGGGTGATTTTTTTAATAAACTTACTGCTTCGTTATTGCTTCCTCCAGGAGAAAAATGAGCCTACTCCGAGGTGGGGCATTTTGATGCAGAGCACCCGAGGCATTAAAAACCACGATGCAGTGGTATAAACCTAAGGAGGAAGGAGTTCTAGGGTGGTTGGACCCACTTTTTGAGCCGAACGGGGGTTGTTTAATCACTGCACCAAAACGCTCCACATTTCGGAGATAGCGCCCGAATTTTTGCATTTTACCCCCTTTTTTATCTGAACGTAATCCTTTAAAGGTTCCCACGGTAAGGCTGATGTTCGAACTCACGTGTT